ATGGTCTTGGGTAAGTTGCAAATAAGTGTGATGATTGAGGCTAGGTCAGGTTAGTCAGGTATGAATTGATCAGGCCACATTTTTTTATGGACACTTGGCAAATTAGAAAAAACTAGCATGACCTAATCTTAGCTAACCCAACTATACCCACATAACTACTAAACTACTGAGCACCTACCTAAATTGTGCCTACATCTCATACCAAGTCAAAATATTCCCTTTCTGGAAGATTACCCTCAGTCCCTCAGTACTTTTTATCCCAGCCCTGTGAAAACCTAATACTTCTAAGTTCTGAGTCCCTTCTGGCCATCCACAGAAAGAAATGCTGACAGCTTTGCTTGTGTATATTAGACCAATAATCACCATCACGAATGACTATGAACACATGACATGATCACATCGTTGCATGGATTTTCACATTGACAATTTTACTTAAATCCTTTTTTCAAGAAATGCAAAGTAATGATGAACATCAAATTAAACATTAAGCTGATTTAGTGATCCAAGCTTTCTTCTCCAGTAGCAATAGAATGATAGCATGTTTCATTTGCCAGACACTGAGTACCTAATGCACATTACCATCTGCATAGCAAAGTAAAGCTGCCTGGGTTCGTTCATTCTAGAATTTTTCACTTGATAGTTAGCACTCATTGATCTTGCTGCTGTAAGTTATATTTCAATATTCATACCAATACATCAATACGCGTTCATCAGCCAACATTTACTGGCTTGATACTGCGCGTGCTCTTCAGTATTGATCTCCTGCAATACCTATTATAGCTTGTTTTCGGCCAATAAGCTCTTTTAATTTTACTTTTTTTCTTGCTGATAAGTGAGCCAGATCAACTTGCATTTAGCAACCAACATTTCCTAGCTTCAACCTGATATTACTCAGGACTCAGGACTCTTCAGTCTCCTGTATACTTCAACTTGGGATTGTTTTCAGTCAACATGCTTCTTTAATATGATATAATTCAGTCACAAGGGATTCAAAACTTCCAACAAAACGACATACTAGAGTTCGAAAACCACCAGATAAACTTGAAAAAATGCCTTGGAACGGAGCAGAACGGAGCCAAGCGGTGCTCCATTTGTTTGTTTACAATAATTGTAGTGCTGATGTATTGTTTTAGGACTCTAGCGGTCGGCTTATAAAAAAATGAAACATTTTTACAAAATCTGTATGACAATTAATATTTTTCTGAAAGAACCAAAATATTCAAGAGCCAAACACTGTGAAATACAGGAATCGGAACGAAATAGTAACCCAAAAATCCAGCCTAATAACCGGCTCCTAAAACTGCGGCAAAATCAGCACTTTTCCCCGCAACTCGTTGTCCAGACGTAAATATGCTCCTCGATTCGACTGACAAGTGGCGCCTCTACCGGCAAACACACGTACTCGAGATTCAAACATTTGACACAGAGGTCATTGGCAGCAATACAATTTTTCGGGTGGTTCCGCAAGAACGCAGGAACGCTTCAAAATTTCGGGTGGTGCGTTCCTCTTACTTGCGTTCCTTTGAAAAACTTTGCGTTCCTGCGTTCTTGCGGCGTTCCTAAAAAGGGCGGTGCGTACGTACGGAAGAACGCAGGAACGCACTAAAGGAACGCACTTGCCCAGCTCTGCTAACCACGTCTGTTCCGGACGTTCCGGATGCGTTTTCCGCAGAAAAGTTCAACGCGTCGGACATCACTCTTCCGTCTCCGTAGCAACCGCATCCGAAACGCATGCGGAGAGCTGACGGAAAATCAACAGCTGATTGCCGTTCGGATGCGGTCCGGACGGAGCGCACACGATTTCCGTACGGACCGGATGCGCCCATAGGGTTCTGTGTTAAATTCCGTACGGACCGCACGCGTTCCGCACAGTGGACGGCGGCCTTAACTCCTAGCAGGTCTCTAACTGCCATATTTAATATTGGATTAACTAGAAATTCCCCATACATACTCAAAAATGTATATTCTTTCGTATAGTGAAGATAAAAAGACGTGAAGATATCGTTGTGTGATAATGTTTTCGTTGAATTTTTGGCTTCATGATGCATTTCCACGCGGCTCAAAATTCACCGCAAAATACTGTTTGTCTGAGACACTTTTACTATGGAACTTGAATGCTTGACTACGATGACTATGTATTTCCATTCTCGCAGAGTTTGGGATATCACTAATCAGCAATCATTCATTTCAGAAAGTGAACACAAGCAAGCATGTCTTGACTCTGTCTTTCAAGGTCACGCGCGGTTGCGTGATGTTGATGCATGAAAACGGCGTTTGCCGCGAGAGTTATGAATGGCCCACTCCAATTTTTTCACAGATGGTTAGGAACATTGTGACGGACATCATATGTAAAAATTACCCGAATCGAAGGTGACGTGTTTTTTGCTATTTAAATTTTTATGTTTTAATTCAAGGTCAAATGCATTTCAAGGTCACTTCAATTTAATTTTATAATTAAAAATCAAAGCCTTATCAATTGCCTACAAGACCCTGTTAATATCATTTTGATACCAGAAAAGGAACCAGAGTTATAGACATTTAAAAAATTGATGTGTGGCATTTTTGGCTATATTCGATGACCTATATCTCAGCGATACTTTATCAAATTTCGAAAATATTATACGTAACTCAGTTTTGAACCATGCCCAGTCTGCCTACAAATTTTCAGAAAAATCGAAGGGGATGACGGATTTCGGTGTTTGATTTGACGTGGAATGCCCCTATCGGCTCTCCATGACTTTGCGAATTTTAATTCATGATTTATCGCCCATCAGCATTCATACATCTTTGACACAGCACACTTGTGACCCGATGACAGCTCGCGGGCCATGGCACAGGTGTTCGTTTTTATGAACACGTTTTTATCAGAATAGACGTCAAGCTGCTTGCGCTTCAACAGCTCACATTCTTCATGCTGGCACTCTGTGACGGAGGAGCAGCCAGTCGCCAGTGCTCCGCTAGGGATGCCGTCAGCTGAAGGAGAAATAAATCGCAGTGAACACCGTCACGGTGTCCCTCAGCCCCCCTCACCCCCATCCCTGACGTATCTCTGGCCGACGTCACATCCGCTGCCATCCTCGCTTTTAGCTGGCTGACGGCCACATCCTAAACCGTTCCACTTCCGCTGGCGTCGTCGATCCTATGCTGGCTGTTGACCACAACCTAAGCCGTTCGTTACATCAGCTGCCTCAGTCCGTGCGCCATCCGCACGTCCTCCGGTGACTGATGTCCTCGGCTCCCAGTGACGTTGTTGTGACGCAGGCTGGCAACTGATGGCAGAACGCCAGGTTACGCTGGCGTCACATTGGTCCTGGCGAGTGGCGTGCGGTCCTGTTCCATTTTAAGAACTGCAATTCGTCGTTGGGTCGTTTCCTGAGACCTACATTTGGCTGCGAGCTGCTAAGCAGCGGCGCAACGTTGGAATGGTATACCACAACATTGGATGTAACGCAAAGATAGGATTATTTAACATTTTCTTGGGCTAAGAATTATTAACAATGAAAAAAATGTAAGAAATAGTTCTTTCAACTGGTCATCATATGCATACATTCGGATCTTGAAAATATTGTGACGGAACGTTTGGTTCTTATTTTGATTGAATATGGTTATTGGAATTATGCTTTGAGGAATGAGCCCTGAATGAGCCTATGATTATTTCAGATTAGATGCCTCTCACCTCGGGTTCATATTTACGCTTGTTTAGGCATACCTATACTGAATATCTGCATATTTTTGTTGCGTTCATTTCCATTGTGATAATTTGACATTTTTCCTCATTATCTCAAGACTTGTACGGAATATAATTAGCCACATAATGAGCATAATGAACATAATGAAGATTACATCATCCTTGTTGGCGACTGACCTGCCATTCATTCCCATCTGACCTCAATTCTGTGCGGTCTCTCGAATCACTTGGTCGGTGTCTATGTGTAAAAATAAACACTCCCTATCGACGCAGTGACATCCGGCGCCTCAGACTGGAGATGGGAGAGACCCACGTCCGGTTTGGGCCCGTGGACTGAAACACATGGCAATACATATCTTATGGACTGTTAAGAAGCGTTAAGATAATGAATTTTATTGGGAAAGAAGGAAAACATTTCGAATTAGTCCTTGTTACTTGTATCACACAGAGGTCTATGGTACCTATCACATTTCCTATCATGCCATTTCTTTCACCTTCGATTTTCGAACACCTTCTCCAGTCTCCACCCTCCGTCGTCGCTCGAGACCCTTCCAGTCTCGGTCCCGCTGCCGTCCCTGTGTGTGTGTATGTGTGTGTGTGTTATCGTCAAGTGCGGCGGCCTCACCAAGGCCAGTACATCGATCTGGCCCACGACGCGGCGGCTGGCCGGCACAAGGCGTTACCCCCATCCCGCCCCGGTCCCCGTCCGTCGCGGCACTCCACCGGCCGAGCTGTCCTGTTTGTGTGCGTGACTCTATTGTAGAGGGCGACCATCGTGTGCGTGACATGTCGATTACCGTGGAGCCGCCAGGGTCTAGGCCAGTGTGGCTAGGGAGGGAGGCGGGGTGGTTGGAGGGTTAGTGAGTGCGGTCAATGCAAACATTGACAAAGGTGGTATATGAAATATGGACAGCCTTATTCGTTTTCTCAAGTACCTACATATGCTAGCTGTATTGACATGCATGTGAATTTTGATTGTTGTGGAATATAATCACAACGGGATTTACATCGATCGCAAATCGTCATGTCCCTTAGCCCGTTCCGGGTTTTAACTAACAAACCATACGCAGCCCCAGCCCCCACTTTATGTAAACCGATCGATAGCCCGGGCAATATTCGCGGATTGCATTGGCTGCTGCCCGAGCTGACCCACTGATCCTGTTACCCTTACCAACCGCTCCACACTGTCACCGGCATCGTCTACTGCGTCACCGTTCTAGCGACTGAGGATGCTAGAGAGCCTGCTGGAGCCACTGATGTATATGTTGCTGTAATGATGACTGTGCTGACCCTGTCGTCCTGTGTTCGGTAGGCTGTACGAGGTGCTGGAGACGCTCTCCAAGATCCACCTGGTGATGGAGCACGCGCCGGGAGGCGAGCTCTTCCACAAGATCACTACCGAGGGCAGGATGTCGGAGCAGCGAGCACGACCTCTGGTGGCCCAGCTGGTGTCGGCGGTACAGCACATGGTGAGCCGCCGGATCTGGACGGAGACCTGAAACGTACGGAGACCTGACCTCACGGCACTTGACCTCACGAAACCTGACCTCACGACATCTGACCTCTCGAAACATAACCTCACGAAACCTGACGTCACGAAAGCTGGCCTCTTCAAAACCTGACATCTTCAAAACCGAGCTCAAAACCCGACCTCTCCCAAAACCTCACCTTTTGCAACTCCTGACATCTTGAAAGTACCTGCATGCATTTGCAAACATTTTCTTACAGTTCTTTGCTTTTTATGGTTAGGTCGTGACGGGGCTATCTTGTTTACATTTAGACGATCGTTTTGTTGATGTTCCATAAGCCTACTAATTTGTCTAACAAAAGATACTGCGAGGTCTTGGATCATGTGTTTAAAAAGAACATATATACAGTTTGATGCTCAAACTGTTACCAACTAACGGAGCGACACCCCTGCCGTTTGTTCGGATTCATTGGAAATTATTCAAAAGCACCATACCATGCATACCTATCACAGTTTAAGTTCACACTCCATAGCTCGCAGCTAGCTATAAGTAACTTGCATTTGATTCATGCGCGCACAGGGTATGAACACTGAACAGGGCTTGCTATTGTTATCGTTTATTCTTTCGAACTTTTCCTATACATTATCTGAGAACCATTAGGCAAGAGTTTTTATTCTTCATATTCTCAATCAACCAATCTAATTAAACTAAATTCATGTACTAACGCATTACTTTATGAAAATACTTGTCCTACTTCATTGGTTGAAAGGCGTGGTACTACAGTGAGCGAGTTAAATACTGCTGACATATGGCTGTTCCTGGATTGAAGTCCTTAATGTAACATCGATTCATTAACATTTGATGCCGACCCTACCACTGCCCAGTTCTCGAAACTGCATCGGTACCATTAATAAATGAAAACCGGCGTCGCAAAACTACGTCTGTTGCCTCAGGCCGCTCCGCTTTCCGGCCATCACCTGGTATACCGCGACCCGCGTGCTGAAATCGATAGGAGAACCACAAAACAGTTGCAGCTGCTGTTCAGCCTTTGATGCAAAAAATCAGTGTCGCAATAACATGTCAACCGACTGCTGGTGGGGCGTTCTACTTGCTTAACTGCCGCTCACCTTTCCTGCCAGCAATCTGACTATCTTATTGCTGTTGCAGCACAACAACAACATGATCCACCGCGACATCAAGGCCGAGAACGTCTTCTTCTCGCGTCCGGACGTCGTCAAGCTGGGCGACTTCGGCTTCAGCACGTTGGTCAACGCGCCCGAGCAGCACCTGACCACCTTCTGCGGCTCGCCGCCCTACGCCGCGCCCGAGCTCTTCCGCGACGACTACTACACGGGAGCCGCCGTCGACGCCTGGGCTCTCGGCATCCTCGTGCACTTCATGGTGGCCGGCGCCATGCCGTTCCGGGCGACGACCGTGACGGCGCTGAAGCGTCAGATCCTCTCTGGGGCGTTTCCGGAGCCGGAGGGGGTGAGCGCGCAGTGTCTGTCGCTGATCCGGGGACTGCTGCGGCTGCAGCCGGCCGAGCGCTGGACGCTCCGGGAGGTGGCTGACTGTCCGTGGCTGGCGGGCCAGACGCTGCCCTCGCCCAGCCGGCCGTTCTCTCTCACTGCCGCCGTACCGGGGAGGACGGTCGAGGATATGGATAAGCTAGAGACCGCCACTCGCGCGCGGCTCGTGAAGCTCGGCCTGGACGCGGACGCGCTGGAGGCGCACTGGGAGCGGGGCGGCCGGAGTCCCGTGACGGGCATCTATCGCATCACCATGCACCGGATGATGCGCGCGGAGGATGGGGAGGTGAACGAGACGGACTCGCCGCGCAGGAGAGTCGGGACTCCGACCGACTCGCGCCCGGACTCGAGGGACTCGCGGTCCGTGTCTCCCGGCGTGGTCTCCGTGAAAAATGATAAGTCAAAGGCGTGCACGATTCTGTGATAAGACGTGATGAGCACTGAGCGAGTCAGAGCCGATGCGTAGTGTTGTTATCGGCTGAACTATTTTCGAATGTGCGTTGTTAGGTGTGAGACTGAGAACTATTTTTTGATTGCGTATTGTTAGACGTGTGAAGCCCGCCGATCCGCTCTCCATTGGGTCTCAATTGCGCGAAACCACTCGCCTGTGAGAAGGCAATCTTGTTTTTGCGTTGTGATAAGGAGGTTGTTATGGGGCTGTATGCCAGCATCCATGACTGATGGGCTCACGTATTGAAGTTCATTCGGCTGTATTTGAGCATTGAGTACTGAGTGTTGTGTGCAGAGTGCGGGGTTTATTTGGAATCCTGATTTTCCACTCCAACCTGAGCTCTGCAACCTGAGATTTGGAAGCATAGTTTTACAAAACTTCGGTGCGAAAAAGTATTGCCAAATGCGGCTGAATTATTTTCTGCCAGGCGACATTAACCCATGACAATTGCTGTGTTTAGAAAAGCTATTTGAAAGTCACATGGTCGTCAAACGAACCTTTCATTAATAATGGGAGGATTGAACAAGATCTTTAACACGCTATGCCGTTTGGTGAGACATTTTCCCTTTTGAATATCGTCAATAAACCTAGATGCAATAGGTATAATAGTTCAGGCTTCATTAGGCGAGATAAATTATCCCAGCAAATACTATTATCACTATCAGCACTATACGTTACATCATCACCATCATTAAGGCTATTGGTATATTTAAGCAAATGACACAATAAGCAAGATGATACTGCATTTCTCGAGCTCCTTCAGTAATGATATCGACGTAACTTCTAGAACTTCAGTTACTTCTAGAAATTAAGAAAGCCCGCCATACGTCTTTTTTGAAAATATTATTCCGTTGAATCTGTCTCTAGCCTGCCTAATCGTAGCCCATTTCTTCTGGGTGGCGTATGTTCTGCATTCACAATGCTATGCAGCAATGAATTAAACTTATTTTCTTATCAGTATTGAATCATTCAGACTGATTCATAAAGTGATATTCCGAGCACTGTAAAAGAAGGCACCTTGTTCTGCACTTATGCTAATTGACTCGAATTTGAATTGTGATCCTATTGGCTTTGGATAAGTAGAGTGTACTCGCTATGGGGACTACCGTAGATCTGGTCCACGAAAGTTGCTTTAACGGTATGGACTTGTATTTCGATTCATATGAATCATTTACAAGTTTGAAGAAGGTCTCGATGGTCTCGTGAGCATTGCGTGTTGGATCTGGCGGACTGCGCTCGAGTGATATGCATTGTTTAGCCCGCGGATGATCGACATTCGACGCTGGTGTGCGTGTGTATGTGAAAGGTGCGAAACTATGCTCCGTTACGTGCAATACAATACCTGACCTCAGTGAGAAGATGGAACAGTTGTTGAGCTGGTTCTGGGTTGAGACAACAAGTCACAAATGTGCGAAAAAAGAGCAAAAGAGAAAAAAGTCCCCTGTCAGACGATTTCACAGTCGGTAGGCAACGCCACAGGGCTGTCGGTCGCACAAAAGCAGAAGAAGCCTTGGTTCAGCGGCACCAGTGCTGACTCCAGTGAAACAGACCCAGTTCTTTGCACCTGACAATCGTGCAGTGAGGCACACCCTAACGAGCCTGAGTCACAAGCACAGGTGATGTGCGGCTGGCAGTAACCAGCAGTGGTTGGTTCGGAGCGGCACCAAACACATGTGACCTGTGACCTGTAATTGGCGCATAAAATCGTTCAGTTTCGGGACTGTCCGCTCTGCTCCCCAATGCTGCACTCGGCTGGCTCCGAGGTAAGAAACACTAACCACCGGATAGGTTTTAGCTGTGAGCGGAACCACTTACACAGCAAAGGTGAGCTAATTTTGCACTAGAATCCCCTCGGCTCCACCGACATAAGGCTTCAGGAAGCCGTATCTGACGAGTGAGTACCTCTGAGAGTAAGCACGCCGCGTATAGGGCATCCCTTGCGTAACACCACTTTGAAGGCCGTCTGTTTCGTCGTCACTTTTTCGTGAGTTGTGCAAGGACCCACCAAATACATAAGGAAGCCCTAGACTTGCCTTTGTTTGGCTCACTTGCACGGGAGCAGCTTCCGTCCTTGTCAATAAATTCTAAGGGTTAAGTGTAGGATGGCTTTCAACGAAGGTTGCTGCTAAACATAAAACATAATAAAAACAAGCAGTTGCAGCATGCTGGTCAAGTGAAGAAGGAACTATGCATATCATTTTTCTTCCCAGTTTTTTCAGACTCACGTTACACAATCAACCTGTTCACAAGACGGTCACATATCACACACGACTGAACACCAGCACCTAACCATACACTGTAAAAAATATTGACTAGCCCCTCGTCAAATGATTCTCAACGCTAAATGTCGGGGGTACAGACTAGTTTTGCATCCTACTTTTGACACACGCTGCGAGCCCCTGGCTTGTTTTGTGTTCGTCAGATGACAGTTACCAGGTGTCGGTTAGTTTTTACCACGTCCCAAAAATAGCTGGAGCGTTTCTGCCTTGTTTTGGAAGCAGGTCCTCGTTAATGCTGTGTGTGATAACAAAGTACCTAGTGACAATAATAACGAAAAACAATGTCAAAACGAGGGCGGCTTGTTTAGTGACGATGTTCAAAAGAAGCATCGTCTTGTTCCTACTTAACGAATGAAGCTCAAACTAGGTCAAAACTAACGTATTGCTATACATTTGAACCCCACGACGAACCCCCCAACTAGGCCCTAATCAACCCATAGTCAGATGACCAGCATATCCTACGCCGCCCAATCCAGTCATCGAATTTGCCAGCGAATTCGTTTGAAGACCATCATATTCTTAAATATCGGTGGTCTTCAAACGAAATCCCTTACCGGTTTGATGACGAATTCATCCGGCCCATTGCAAAAACGCTCAAGATAAAATGAAAGTGTATTTCTGAAATAATGTGCTTTCTTGCAATGCACCTTTCGTATATCAAGCGAACCTTTCACTTCCAGCGCCCGTTTACAGTTATCAATCGAATCAGAAGCATGCACATATCGATAGATCTGAACCTAAGAACACAGAAGACATTTTGTAGAGTACCTGTCTGAGCCTATGCAGTGGAGCCCGTGAGCCGCCCAACCGCAGCTGCCTCATGAACTTGATGATAGGCCTGAACCTCAGATTGGCCAGAGCTTGGCCGTCAATAACCAGCTTATTTATATCCACAGTTGTAGTGACTTAGGGTTTGGAATTTGCCAAACCTCTAGTTTTGATTACCAAAAGAAGTTTTGTACTTCTTGCACTTGCCTTTTCTTCATAACTTTGGCGGAAATCGTCGTAGTGAAAGTTCAGTGTTCCGTTAGCTGTCGGTTCTTGAGAGAGTTGGCCAGGCCGGACACCGAGGGCGGCTCCACAACTTTTGAAAAATTAAACCTAAGTCCTATTGCACTGCATGGAGAGCAATTCATTTAAAATCGCTCTTGTTCCCCCCCCCCCCCCGACAACTTTGCAAACGTCTCTGCGCGATTTAGTTGAGAATAATGGCTTATGGCAAGTTATTGAATCAGAACGTCGATCACTGCAGGTCATATATCGGCAAGTGATTCTTCATAACTAGATACTGCACAAATGGAAACCATACAGGTTTGCCCAGTGATAAACACTCGCACTTCACAGACGCACGCACCCCCGACCGAACGCGACACGGCACACGGCGCAACGGGCGGAACTGGCGCCGGGAAGCCGGGAACGCATTAAGTGAAGGATTCACAGGTGCGCAACTTTATTGCGAACAATAAAAACCTACCGCAAACGATTAAAAAAAAAGTTTTAGGGCAATCGGAAATACAAATGTATTGACTTATAGAAATAAAATTGTCATTCACCTTCCAAATAACCCAACAATTTATTTGCCGTAAAAAGTGTCTGGAAATGGAAAGTTGCAAACATGATTCAGCAAGTAGGGAAACGCAGCAGCTACCTGGCGAATAATCACACACCTATCCGTGCTTCTATCCTCAGGAAACAGAAATCCTTCTCCTCCACACCGCAACCCCCCTCCGGGCTGGACAGGCAACTTTATCTCATGCGGGCTGCTCCTTTGGAGCGGCACCGCTGCTCCCGAGGGAGCGCACCCCGTAGCCGGGTGCAGTGAGTGCCTTGGGGCTGAGTGGCCTGTCCTCTGGACGGGCTCAGCCCCGGCGACTCACTAGGGTGCCTGCCCAGACCAATGTCTCCCCCTAATTCCTATCATCCTTCCGGCTCTGCAATGGTCTTGTCGACCGAAAGGGCCTAACCCAACAAAACAAAAAGAATAATCTCAGGCTGGTTTAGTGACGAGTGCATTGCTACGGCTTGTTCCGCACCCTTCACAGATTACTATGACAAAACTACCCCTAGTATTTTGATCATCCTGAGGCTGGCTTTCACCTAATAATTTGATGAGGGTCTTCCTCGTTTCGGATTGAGGCGAAAACAAACGTCAAACAACCTTGATAGTTAATTCAGCACTTCAAAACAAAGGTACACCTAGGGTATCATTACAATACCGCATCATAACGATCTGGATAGTTCTCAGCCTGTAAGCTAACTAAGCGGTAACTAGTCAAGTGGTAGGTACCGGAAGCATTGACAACCTGGTGACTGTTTCGAGACCCTTGTTTTGACACATAGCTCGTCAATATTTTTTACAGTGTAAATAATCCTTTTCTAACATCAACTGCCAAGTAGCGCTCTGCAGGCATTTCAAGTTGAAATCAATTAATGTTTATCCAAACAGAAAAGAGCCCTTCCTCGAAGCTCAACTAGTGTACTTAGAATGGCAAGCGCTAAGAAGTGTCCATTTCGAGAGCCACGAGCCAGAGTGTATGATTCCGGTGAGGGCTGTGTCCGTTTTCCGAGTACCTAGGTATGAAACCCAAGTGCTAAAGAAGCTGTGTTTGATTTGTTATCAGGTGGAGCATAGCCCTCTGTACACAAAGCTTATTGGCCTATGCATAGACCTCTGTAGCCTGTATACATACCTGTGTATACAGAGGTCTATGGGTATACAAAGGTCTATGGGCGGATATATAATTTCCTACAGCAGACGGACCTCGATCCATGCGACGCTTCGATGCTTAGTGCTGCTCCCCTGCGGACACGTATTGAAGCTCTAGTTCAGATCAATGCCCAAGGCACCCGACCCTGAGAACTAGCAACGATCGTCCGTTCGTCCTTTCTATCGTCAGGACAGGATCAATCCACCCGCACCCTCGTCTACGCTGTCCGGGCTTACGGTAGGTAGTTTGTTTGTCGTTATTGGTTCTTTAACGCCACGGGCTGACGCGGACGGTACAAATCACAGCGCCGGTGGAGGACCAGCTCCAACCACAGTCCTGCAGAGTGACTGTTTCGGTCACTGTTTGGTCTGTCTCACCGTAGTGACACTCTTTCTAACATCATATTTAAAATAGACAAACACTATTCGTTAGAATTGTGTTTGTCTATTTCAAACGTTTTTTAGACATCGTTACTTAACTTGATCTGGTGACCTCAGACCTGACCTTAGATGACCCGGACTTAATAGCTCAAAAACGGTGGTGGCTGACCCCATTCGGCCATTAACTAATTATAACCCCCAGCCTCGCCGGCCTGAGTGCGCCCCTGCCACTCGACCTACCCCGCTAGATGACCTGTCGCCCAGGGGCACACGCGCGCTCCGGGAGCCGCCCAGTCTGTCGGCCGCCGTGGCGCGAGAGGGGTCCGGCTAGTGATGCTGACGGGGCTCTGGTGCAGTGCATGGGATTTGAAGGTGAGACATTCATTTATTATTACGTGATTCCTATGTAAGCTGGGTATATGTTAATTTAGCATGTTAGCTGCGGTTTTCACCTTTACAGGTAGTGTGCCAGCTTTCCTGGACCATATGGAGTTAATGACCCGGATAAGGAGAACCGGATTTTTAGAACTCATCCATATCTTCAAAACTCATGGAAACGTCTTAAATTCTTCAAATTTTGAGTACCCCATTGCGAAATTCGCCCCGACGGGTTGTCGGTCGTACCCCAACCACATTTCAATCCACTATGAACAATAAATGCACACACTAAAATCGCTATTACCGATAGGTTCATCCAATCAAGTTTCGATAAACCCGTTCATCATCATCTCCTGAGGTTTCGAACACGCCTGTTAGGTGGCTTCTGATGCTCGTCGAGGTCGGAATTTCCAAATACGCTGCTCATACTTTGTGGTGCGGTGGCGGTGCGTCGGGACGACGGTGAAAACAGGGCGCCTGGGGCGCCCTGTTTTCAACCAGCAGTTACTTATACGGTGAAAACAGGGCGCCTGGGGCGATTTGATCAAGGTTCGTGAAATTTACACGTGACGTTTAGCATATAGAAGGCCCACGGAGGGGGAGAATCTCCAAATGTCACGTGACTAATATGCCCTCCGGCGCCCTGTTTTCACCGGCGTCCGTGCGTCGGGCCGCGTGCTCTGACTTCGGCCAAGAAAAATGCGTCAGCTGATCATTGTCATTTCTGCCACTTTCGTGTGGTGAAATGGGGTCATAATTTAAGAGACGGCTGTTTCATATCAATTATTTTACATAAAATAATATTTCAAACCATAAATTAATGTTCGACAGCCAAATTAAGGAAACAATACCAATACAGGCTTACAGTTTAAGTTCGACATTGTGTTGTCTACGATTAGACAGCTGATAACTCATTCCCGTACGTCGTAGCTCTATAGGGGCATTCCACGTCAAGTGGGACAAAAAATGACCATTTTGAACCTCACCTCCTCCGATTTTTGCGAAACTTGGTGAAACTACTCATCTATATGTGAAAAGAAAGGAGACATTTTTTTGTCAAGATATGACGTCACGTTTCCGAGATACACGTCATCAAACATTGACTTAGGCAAGGCACATTATCATCTTTAAAGCGTCATAACTATTGAAGCTTTAGACATATCACCACGAGACAAAGTGTGAAATGGAGGGAATAGATCAGGCTTTAATTTGAGGATAACAATATTGACGTTTACTCACCTTGTTTACTCACCTTGTGGGGTTCCTCCACTTCCCAGCCTACAGGACGGGTGCAGGGAGGGAGAAGAGGAACCCGGAAGCACAAGACACGCCAGTTCTTCAATGCTAGAACTAATCCTGGCAGTAACTACATACCAGTATAACGCCTTATGGGGCGACTAACGGAGCGAGCGAGAGGGTGGGCCTTGCACGTGCGAAATTTCGAGGTGGTACCTCCAACTGACTTGTGCACGGCACCCTACTAACCGGTCTCTAGCGATGTGCCAAATTTGAGCACAATCGGCCCAGCCGTTCTCGAGATCTGGAAGCGGCACCCTGCACGTGCGCACGTGCAAAATGGGTCCCAACTGACTTGTGCACGGCACCCTACTACTGTTAACGCCAGACCCCTTGAGACCCTAATTTTTCGCGATTGCTTTTAAATGCGTGAAGGAATTTCAACCAAGCTCAGGACATGGCCGTTTCAAGACAGGCCGAAACTTTTACAATTTAGATATTTTATCGCCATTTCAATATTTCAGGCACTTGTCATTGACTCGTAATGTTAACTGTTTTTCCATCCTGGATAGAGGCTTTCTACGTCATATGACATTAGGCTCCGCCCACGACTGCGGCATTGACCCGTGCCCATCAGCGACCTCTGTACAAACGACACCCCTGCCATCTGTGAAGGACTATGAATTTCGCTGACGCTTCACGTGCTATGAGTCAATTGCAGCAGACGGTCAAGTAAATGTTAGGCTCTTGTTGACTCTTCTATATAGGACCAAGAGGACCATCACTCCTCAACCTACTACTCAGTCGTGCTTCGAACAAACGTTAACCCGCGCCCCGTAGGGCTACCGGCGGACCCTACCACCCGTAGGGGGGGGGGGCCGTTTCGGCCCCCCCCCTAAGATCTCGGAAAGTTACCGGCCGATTTTCAAAATTCAAACGGCGTTCGATAGCCCCACCCGGGAACTACCTTGTGACCAAATTTCATTGACCTAGGTCAAACCGATGACGTCACAGGTCAGGTCAAAGGTCAGATTTTCACCGTTCACAGGCATTTCAAGAAATGTGTTGTGAAATCGAGTTAATTGGTAATTTATTGAAAACCATCGATGGTACATTGTTCGTCAAACACATACTTTGCTATCTGAGGTCACTGATACCAGGTCAGGTCACAGCGAGGTCAGGTCACCGGGGTCACAATATGAAAGTGTCGTGTGATACATGTTTTATGGTCCATTTACATGACAAATGCGATTATGTGGGTTAGGCAGCCTTTGGGGCCAGCCTAGGTCACGTTTTGGTGAAGGTCAGGTCAAGGTCAGGTCAAATAAGGTCAAATTTCAAAGTTGATATTTTTGCATAAAATGGGTATCGATTCGATGCAGCTCGTCACGGGGAGTCTAATGGTGGTCTTTGTTTTGCTCTACGAGGTCTAGAACTGCCAAAAATTGAGTTTGAAAATTTGACGTCATCAATTTTGAACAGTTTTTTCGCTATAACTTGGCCAAAAAACGAGGTATCGATCTGAAATTTGGTATGTAGATAGAAGACGGTAGGTACTATCACATATATTCCGGTTTTTTTGAAACTCAAAAAACTTTTTGGATTTTTTGGCTAATATATCCAAAAAAATGTTTTTTTGATTTTTGGGGTTCAAAACTCAAAAATTTCAAAAATCCGAGATAGCAGTTTTGTAGCCCTGTCAATTCTACACCTTTTATGTCTTGATCATTTTTCTGTATCTTCAAAGCTGTAGGCCTGACAGGTCTTCTCGCGAAGGTCTTTTTTCGGTCGAAAATGACAACATGACGTCATTCTGACGTCATTTGTGGCCAACCTATCATAGCCTCTGGAAAAATTTTTGGTCACAATGTGTAAAATTGATGCCCGGAGGGGTCCTGAAAGTTTGGTGGCGATATCTGAAGCGGTTTAGGAGATATCGACCGAAAAGGACAGGGGGGGGGCCGTTTCGGCCCCCCCCCTACGGGGCGCGGGTTAACGATTCCTAACAAATACGATTTTCGATGTAGGGTATCTGTTTGAAATACGAGCGAGCCGTATGATGTGAAGCTCAGGCAATTAACTTATTATTGCGTTGTTCGATGGTTGCATAGCGATGTACAAATCGGCAGCTACTTGGTGACATCCGACATCCCATTATCGCATTATCTGCAACGCCATAGGCTTTACATACAGGTGAATATTTCATAACCTTATGTCAGTTATATGCCATCTGCCCGTCATTTGCAGCTTATAAAAAAAATATCAGCGAACATATCAGCATTGTAGAAGCAATGCGCATTGAGCATTTATGACTCCTTAGTCATCATGTCGCTCTCTGGGCACTGTCAGCCAAGACGCTACGCACAACTCCGCCGGCTTTCGGCACCGCTCGCCCGTCGCCCGTCCCCGCTCCCCGCCACAGCGAGAGTGACCGCGCGCCGGCCCGAAACCGCCGCAGGCCGAGACCACAAAGGCGGGGCTTAGCTGTGACGTCATAACGTATCACAGACTGACTGGTGATAGCCTCTACACACCGGATGAAAATCTTGCTCGAAATTTAACATTACGAGTCAATGACAAGTGCCTGAAATATTGAAATGGCGATAAAATATCTAAATTGTAAAAGTTTCGGCCTGTCTTGAAACGGCCATGTCCTGAGCTTGGTTGAAATTCCTTCACGCATTTAAAAGTAATCGCGAAAAATTAGGGTCTCAAGGGGTCTGGCGTTAACAGTAACTGGTCCCTAACCGTGTACCGAATTTGAGCGCCATCGGTCCAGCCGTTCTCGAGATCTGGAAACGACCCCTGCACGTGCGCACGTGCAGCAGCACCCCAACCTTAACACATGCAGATGAATCATCTGATGGAGACCTAACTGTGTACCGAGTTTCAATTCAATCGGCCCAACCGTTGTGCCGTTATTGAGGTTGCAATTTTGGGGGTTCTTAAAAAATGTCCAACTTTACCACGCGCCACGTGCGGTGGTTGGCAAGAACGCATGGTGGCCATCACACCGCAGAACTTTTACGTCCAAGTGACATTCAGTAAAGAAGACCGCTTGTCAATCGGATGTCCCGTTCCTAAGATATTAGCTTTTGAAGAGCGTCCCCACGGCCGGCCGGCCGCTCATACTCAGAAATTTCCGTTAATCTAAGGAAAGACTCCGCTCGCTTCGCTCGCTCCGTAATAAAGATTACAAACCGGAAAAGTGTGTCTGCATTGTGTCCATCATCAATTCAGGCTGTGTATCCCAACATACTGTCAATGTAAATGTGTTGTTTTACACAAAATCATACAGCTCGTCAGAAACGGTTTCGACCAGGAGTCGCTTGAAAGTGGAGAGATTTGGGGCCATTACCACTCTCTCAGGGAGGCTGTTCCATAAAAACACCTGGCGGTGTGAAAAACATCTTTTGCGTACGTCTGTTGCTGCCCGAGGAACCTGTAGCTTCAAATTGTGACCTCGAGTGCTGACATTCGGAGATGGTGTAAAGAAATGTTCCGGGACATTGCGGCTTTTTCCGTGGAAAATCTTCCAGTAATGAATCAAGTCTGCCCTACAAAGGCGACCTTTCACCGAGAACATGTTCAATTTTTTCAGCCTCTCTGGGTATGGCAAGTCCCCAAGTCCCTCCACCTGCTTTGTCCACCTTCTTTGAACACGCTCTAGCTTTCTTAAGTCGTCCACATAGCCGGTGTTCCAAAGGCATGACGCGTATTCTATGACAGGTCTTACATGTGTAGTGTACATAGGCGTC